AGCTCATAATAATAATTGAAACAATCTTTGAAAAAATGACTTACCAACCATGGCAAACAACTCAAATATGTAGAGCAAAATGTTCTGAAACGGCTTCACTTCAGCTTTGATTGGAGCCTATGGTGCTGGGGGCGGAGTCTGTGAATTTACTCTGTTGGTGTCATAGCCCCTGTAGGAGTTCAGAGTTAAGAGGTCAGGAGTTAATGTTTCCATTGTAACACCTCCAGATTTGACAGAGAAACACTCATTTTTAACACTCGATTTTAACTACTATCATTTTACACCTCAGAGTTACATTAAAAGAATGTGACTCTACTTAGAGTAAAATTAACTCTAAGACTACTAACACCAAAACATTTAACACTTTTGAATTTGCTGTGTACAAAGATGTGGCACAAAATACAAACATCACATAAACACAATAAAAATAAGCACTGCAGTTGAACATGCATGTTTGTTTTTTTCTGTGTAGATAATGTGAAAAATTACTTTCTATGGCTTTTCCAACATTGTCAGTTAACCAGCTCTGTAGCATTTTAGGGTTGTGCATATGCTCTGTAACATCAGCGCTACAGAGCATATGCACTCAATATCTAATAAAACATTATCTACAAGTGTTCCTTGTCCTATCTTGTCACTAGTTTTACTAGCAGAGTTACCAGTGCAAACAAGCATGTAATCTTCAGATGTTTTCTGCGGCCAAGCAAGCTGTCTGGCTGGCTGAGAGGAATTGATTTTGTGAGGAAATGTCACTGCAGAGCGTCACTTGAAAGAACTCGGGTCGCATACAAAGTGGAACCGGATGTTCCGCTGACATAGCATATTATTATCACTTACATAGTGTTTGTTAAAGTGCAGCCCCACACCCAGGAGACACAGGGATGGATGTTAACAACAGAGCCACCTCCCCCAAACTGCACAGTATTGACTGTTCTCCCTCGAGTCAACAAAGAACTCATATCCCAGCAATTTAAGTTGCTCTCACAGGCTGTCTTTGATGTTTTTTTTCGTCTTGTTTTTGTTTGTAATGTTTTTCTTTCCCTCCCGTTCTCTCTGTGCTGCTGGGTGGGTGGAGGTGGAGAAGTAATGTGATGCAGAGAAGCGACCGGAGCGAGACGGCGCTCCGAGAGAAAGCCCAGGTTCACACCAGGGTGGCTTACACTGCTGCTTTGCTCACACACATGAACACACAAACACCTGCACATGTGCACACACACACACACACACATGGATATTCACTAATGCACATGCAATACGAGGAGCATACACACACACACACACATTCAGAGCAGTTTACGAGTTGTGCACCTCAATACCAGCTGCAGTACAGCCCATCTGTGAAAAGGTAAATTGAATTTTACAGGCACAAAGCTGACTCCCCTGCGGTCTTTAGAAAAAAAACCCACTTTGTGAGTCTAAAGCTTTTCTAAAGCTTTCGTCTCTTCATCGCTTTCTCCTCCCCCCTCCCCTTGTATCCTTTTCTCCTCCTTCCTTTCTCTGTGGGGAAAATGAAGGTGTGAGAAACACTGATCAATATGCTCATTAAAGAGTTGTGTCTTTGGGAGGCCTGCGAAGGGTCTGCACACAAAGAGCAAGGAGGCAAATGTGGTGCTGAAAAGTCTTGTATACCACCACAGCGGCATCCAGAAACTGAACAGCATTGCTTTTTCTTGATCACAAAGAACGAACAGAGAGTGGAAAACAAACCCTTTTTCTCCCTCGTCTTCGTTTTTCTCAACTTTTCCCTCCTCCTCCTCCTGCTCTCCTCCCGCTGCCTCTTTGCTTACTCTGAGATGTAGTTAAAGCACTTTTCTTCTTCCTGGGCAGAGGATTTTCCAATCTGTCCATGTCTCTATTATTAGATACTCCCATACATAGCCTGTGTTTCTGTGTTGAATTAACACAAACAGCTATGCAGCTAGTCACTCTGCCCACACAATTAACCTCCCCACACACACGGAGGTACTGAGAAAATGCAGTTTGATACGTTACATTCTAATTAACTACAGCACTACCACCTCCGCTGTTCTCCCACATGTGTGTGCGTGACTGTGCGCCTGTACATGTCAGGCATAAGGGATAGACACTGACAGGTGGAATGAAATTGCCAGCATGAGGTATCCGTCTGTGCAGGTTCCACCATATGCATTTGAAAAAAAACTCTGCAAGGTTTTCATGCCAAATGATAGTGAGAGATTGACACAGTTCCACCTGGCAGCACGGTCTACAATTGAGGTGGGAAAGGTACGAACAGGGGTGGAGAGCTTGTTACAATGTCTCACTCAATGTGAAGAGCTGTTTGGCTGAAATGTCTTCTGAGAACAGAGTAAAAATAGCACATGAGTCAAATGTTTGTTAGAGAGAAGTAGCTCATCTCAAATAGAGACATTTTTTTAAAAAAAGCCACTTTAAAAAAAAAAATTGTGCACTGCTGAGGACTTTGAATGAATAGTTGGCTCATTCATATTTGTGCAAGGAGTAAAACCAGACTGCCTTTCTATTTTCTGTCAGTGTGTTCATGTTCGGTGCTACTGCCAGAAAGAAACCAGTTTAGCTTAGCCTAGCATAAACAATGCTAGCCGAGCCTAGTCGCCAAAAAACACCGCAAAACTACCACAAAACTGCTTAATAAAAATACATTATTACTGTGCTTTAAGGAGATTTTTCAGGTGTCAATACTTCATTTGAGTATTTATTTTTCTGACAACTTTTTACTATATTTTAACATGAATATATATGTATGTTCTAATCCTTATATTTTTAAAGCACACCTGTCCTATACACAGGGGCTGGAGTGAAGCGGAATGGCATTTTTGTCCCTAAGTTGTGGTTGTGATACTTTAGCATTTAGCTAGTGTCTGAGAAGAGGAGCTAACCTAAAGGGAGTAACGTTTTTTTTATGTGTCAAGTAATTTAAATGCAACATTTCTAACAGTAAGAAAGACAGATACAATAAGCAAATCCGGATAAAGCAGCAACAGAGTGTGGCAGGAACTGGACCTGAAATTACAAACGAGTTAGCATTTTGCTCTTTGGTTTCTCTCTACTAAAATTCTCAAAATTTGTGGGTTGAATTGGGTTTTGGTTTTTGGGTTGTTGTTTTTTTAAGATACCAGGATATCTTTTGGGTTGACTTGCAAAAAATCATCATCCCAAACCATTAAGCCTGGACACCATCCATTAAGTTGTTCTGAATGATTGTTTTTAATGTGTTTTAATGTGATTTTATTGTTTTAGCTTCTAACAAGGGTTTTAGCCTTTAAAACAGGAAAGCGTTATTTCTAGCCTGATGTCACTGGTATCTTTCAGAAGAACCGTTTCTTACAAGCCACCATGTGCTCTCATCCAAGTTAAACACATGGAAGGTTTTTGGAATGATGTGTTTGACGGTGCTCTATACAACTGCCATCATCAAAACAAGAAAATATATATCTTCAAGAAGAAGGTTTATCCTGTAGTGTTGCAGAGACTTGGAGAATTAATGTCAGGAGTGACTGAAGATGCCCTGGCTGCATGTGATGGTTAAAATCTTTATTACTTACCTTGTGAGCATGCGGTGTCCCTCACTTTCTCAGTCAGATCTGCCACCCTCTGGGACACCACAGTCTAACAGGTGATGTCACAGCGCTCTGTCTTTTACATACAGTTCATGCCAGCATGTACCTTGGTAGACACTGTAGGTGTCGGGGTGCTGAAGAAGTATCATTCACTCCATGCTACAATTAAAAATTGTGTTTTATTAACCATAATCGCAGTCTTCATGTGCTCTTAGTCACTTGGGGCTCAGCAAGCTTAAGAGAAAACAGGAACTCAAAAAAAGATTGGCACGGGTCGTGAGAAAGGAGGCTGATGGAAATTCAGGGTTTTGCAGAATTGTGCAATATGGTGATAAGGTTGCATTAGCATAAGACATTTTTGTGGCTTTTAAGGACAAAGGGTTATGTGCAAACTTTCGATGGCTGGCAGTTGATGTCGGAGTTGATTTTGGCTGGCATTAAAAGCGCTACTGAGTTTCATTACTGAAAAAAAAGTGAAGAGCATCTACACAGCGCTGTGTTTTTTCACCTTTTCCTCTTTAATCACATGCAAATTTATAACTTTCTGTTTCCTTGAGAAGAGGCTGCAGACACTTAACGTTATTCAAAATTCACCAAAGTCACCCATGTGATTCAGGAAACAAAAAATGACTACGAGTACACGTTAATGTATTTCTCACTTATGGTAAAAACTGCAAACCATTGCTACACCCTTGGGGCGCAAATTCGTTTGCTCAGAGCCGTGAGTACTGAAGCATTACTGTGAGGACTGGGAGGAGAGCTCTGTTCGTGCCTCTGGTTCCCATAGTTGGACCGGCCAGCTCTGGTTGCCTGGGTTACTGTATCCCTTGCGGATGGTCATCTTGCTGTTGCTATGCTAATGAGAGAATATCAAAGCCACAAGCAGCAGCGGCTGCCTGTCGAGTTTACGTGAGAGAGTTTGTGCGTGTGTGTGGTTTATTTACAGTCTGACACCTCAGAGGTCGCTGAGAGGCCAGAGCCTTTAACTTAAAATGTCATACCAATTAAGAATTTGTGAAATTAAGCAGGCAATATCAAACTTTGCATTTTATTCATTAGACATGGAGCTGCTCCTAATGGGGTTGCTCTCTCTGGCTCGTCTCTGCTCTCACCTCCCCTACTGACTCTTCCTTTTACTCGCTGCTGTTTCATTATTTACATCCCCATCTCTGGCTCTTTTTTGGCACAGTTTATCAGTTTAATCAGCTTGCGTGGGGATAGCAGGAGGAGGAGGAGGTGGGGGAGGATGTGAAGATGGGAGGTGGGTAATGCATCTTTATTAGGCTCCCAACATCAGCCCAGGAGACGAGTCTCTGCTATCACTGTCAATTAGCAGGGGGAGACGCTCAGAGGGGTGGGGGTGGGGTGGACTGCAAATGGCAGGCTTCTCTTTATTAATATCTGGAAACAAGCACACAGCGTTCAGACGTACAGAAAGAAGCTTCGTCTTTATTAAAACACACTTAGTGCAGCAGTGCAAACCATACAGCAGAATGTCATCAGGCAGTGTAAGGTGCAGTTGCAGAGCTTCAGGTTTCATTTACTGAGAGAATTAAGAAAAAAAGAGGGGGTGCAGGGATGGCTTGACTTTATTCGGCACAGGGACAGATATTACATTATCATTTCATCATGGCTTCCTGGCAATATGGCTTTTTCAATCAGCGAATACAGACATTATTTATTCATCGATGCATTTTTAAAAAGGCACACAAGATACAGCGTAGCCATTCTCCACAGAGTTGACACAATCAAATATACATGAATATAATATTAGTGTGAGATTGTTGGGTGGGGGGTGGGGGGTGTTAAATGAAACTTTATTCAAATGGAGAACAAGGAGAGGAAATGGGGAAAGGGATTAGAGCGCCGCATTTACCCGTCTACATTTATCTCTGCACTCGGGTTCGATTTTGTCCGGAGCTGCTCCTGCGTGTGTGTCCCTTTCTGTTAGCCTGAGTGAGTCTGCCTGCGTGTGTGTGTGTGTGTGTGTGGTCTGGCAGTATATCCTTGCTTTAAGGCAAGTGTCTCTTTAATGAGGCTTTGCTGCAAAAGGAGCTCCCTAGGACTCTTGACGTGTTCTGCATTTCAAACCAGTAGCACACTCTCTCCTCCATCACACACACACACACACCCTTCATCACAGGTTAATGTGTGTGTTGTGCCAAAGCATTGATTGGTGGATTTCCGTCAATGACGGACAACCTTTCTGAAGCTGTGCGCTGCCTCTCAGCTGCTTTTCCCTTGTACTCGTTCGTTCTCTCGGCTTTTTTCCTCCCTCCTCCGTCTCTCGCCGCAGCACTCTCTGACCTCATGTTTATGTATCTCACTATGTCGCGCTCTTCATCAGAGCTGCTCTGTCAAAGGTCCCTTCCCCATCTTTTCTCTCCTCTCTCTGCCTTGCTTGTTTTTCCGCTGCAAAGGCACTGGGATATGAATAATATAAGAAAGAAGCAGATAGCATTGCTCACCCTCAGACAAACAGGCTGCTCCACGTGTTGTTAGGAGACAGAGGGCAGAGAAATCTGACGGGGGTGAAAGAATTTGTAAGGTGCTACAAACGAATTCCTGTCAAAGACAACTGAGGCTCCCGCGGGCAAAGAAGCGGCTGACGGACGGATTCTGCGATTGCTCTGGCCGCGTACTGGACTGAAGGCACAGGCTTTGTGTCAGTTTAGACAAACTGTATCGCCAGATTAGTAAATGAATAGGCTCCAACGGGTGGATTTGCAGTCAGGAGCTCAAAGCTAGAGCTTCCCAAGCAAAGAATCAACCGGCTATTCATCACTGATTTGGAGCTGTGATGAACTCTGGTTTTCCAGTCAGGGCAAGTTTCTCTCGCGCTTGATTGTTTTTCAAGGAGGATGAAGTGTTCAAGAGCAGATCAGCTCATTAGCGGCCATGCTGAATTGCTCTTAATGAATGCTATCAGCCGCTAATGAAAAGTATTGTTCTCGAGCGCAGCTAAATCAAAAGGTGTTTAAAGCGCACGCTCGCTGCTCTCACACGCACTTCATCAACGAGCGTTTGGCGAAGAGGTCCCCGATGGGGACTCAACACCATGGTTACAGGGGCTAACACCCCCCACGAGAAATCAAACTCTCATTTGGACCACAGCCACTGCTCAATACCCGCTCCGGTATCGATTGGCCTCGGTGGGAGTGCTTATGTGCGCGAAGGAGAGAGGGAGTTTGAGAGAGAATGGGAGGCGGGGCGGGATGAAGAGGAAAAAGCAGCGAGGGATTGATTTATCTCCCATTGATGATGGTGATTTGGCATCAGATATGTGGGATGCCTGACCTTATTTACAGCCCCCCCACCTCCTCCGCCTGCCAATTAGAAAAGTTTTCCTCTGTACGCTTGAAAACACAGCTCAATAACACAAAAGTATAAAACAGGGGATGTGTGGAAAATGGCACGTGTAAGAGAGCAGACAGCCTGAAGCGACTGAATCAGTTGTGGAGACTTATGGAAGAGTCCGTTAAAAGTGATGGTGGGAAAAAGCGACCATCTCGCTGTGCATCTCCTTTAACCTTCAGCCCACTAAAACTGAAGGCCCTGGGGTGTTTCCAGCATCTCAAATAGACATCAATTTGATATTTTGTTGGCAGGGCTGCTGCTGAGGCTGCTCTTTAAAGAAAATTTCTCATTACCCTTACTAAATTCTGACACTTAAAGACCATTAAGCTAAACTGCTCCGAAGCCTAAATTGTGCCAGTGAACCAGGTTATATTCTGCAAAGTGAGCTCCCCAGTGAAGCTCCTGGTGCAGTGAAGTATACAAAATAATCTCACATCTCCAGCGTTAGCAGCAAATGTTCCAATAAACGGAGCCTCCCGCCACCCTCACCCCCACCCGGTCGAAAAATAAGGCAACTGAAGTGGCGGAGTATCTTGCTAATTTGTGAGGAAGAGTAAATACACCGAAAGCCTCTGCTTGAAGATATTTTTTCATTTCTCCAGTTAGCGGTGAAGGCTGAGGAGATACACAAGGGAGAAGAGTCCAAAGAGTTCATTTTCCTGACGCTTTGATGCTGTATTTGTACTTGCAAAATATAGCAAGCGGACCTTGAGGATTTTACTCCAGCTTACAATCAACAAACTAAAAAAGTTAGTACAAAAAAATCGGGCTGTTGGTTTATGTTTAAGGCAAATCATGCAGCACAAAAGGACAATTATGGAGTTTGTGTAGATGAGCACCAGGGCCGTAGCCAGAAACTCTAATGTCAGGAGTCAAAGCCCTCGCATTTTACCCACCCCGCATTTCTTTAATTATACATATTTTCTTTTTCGTAATTACTTATCACATCTCTCAATGTATGAACTCAGCTATATTTACTGGGGCTCTTTAGGGACTTTTATCTGCTATTTCTCTTGAGTTGCATGATGGGAATTGTAGGCCTTATCATTTTCTGCTTCTTTTCTTTACTCTGCCTTTTGTCAATTACCCTTTAGCTCAAATTCACATCTTCTTCTTCCTAGCGGTTTATATCCCGCGACGCAGGGTCCGCTATCTTGCATGGCTTCCTCCACTTCTTCCTAAGCTCAAATTCACATCTATTATCTGTAAATAGTATTCACAAATGTTAACATCTCTGTGTGGTGAAAGCCATATTTCTGTTTTCATGATTTAAAAAAAAAATTCTTTGTTGTGATTTTTGGACGATTCTTTGTGGTGTTAATTTACCCAACACAACATTTTCTCCAAACCATCACTGAATATTTATGGAAATTTTTCAGCAACTGTGAACAAACTATAACACTGCTGGGAAATGAATGAATTTCTAATTTGAGGATTTGAAAAAACAAGTATATTTGCAAATACTACATTTTAAAAACAGTGCAGCACATCTATTAATAAGCCACTCAGGAGTTTCAGGAACCTGGTGGAAGGTTACATTCTATCTAATAACAAACAGGTTGTCACCTCAGACTCTTAAAGAAGACTACGTTTCACTTATTTTCTGTTCTTAGACGTTTTAAATGCAGACAGCCAAAGGTCAAGATTCACACTTCTCTGAGCACTAGGTTTGAGACAGGTTTTTCTGCTCTTGGCTCTGTATGATGTCACTGAGAGGCGATATATCTGACTGAGGCACCAGGCATAGTCTCCACCTTTCACTTCAAATGTGGCATGCAGCGTCAAAATGTTTGCTAGTACAAAAAATGTTGAAAAAAAAATTGAAAAAGCAAATCCATAAACAGCAGCAGCGAGGACTTTATCCCCAGGATGATGGATCTCGTCCTCTACAGCACCTCCACTACCCTGGCCCATGAGTCAGGCAGTCACTGACGCCACCCTAACAGAATTTTTCTGTAAAGTCTTACATTTTCAGTTATGCAGTGCAGCCATTTGGGTCTGGCAGCATGCTAAATTGCCAGGTGCAGCTTTAGTAATGATTTATAAATACATTTTTACTCAACTTAATTTCATAACTCCTCAGGCATCGACCTCAGCTCGAGGGTGTCAGAATTGCTCTTCTATCACGAGGAGCACATGTGTGGTTGGCAACTCAAGGACTGGTTGGGCCTGGTGGAGTTGGGGGGGCTGGTAATGACCAAGGCGCAGACCTGAGGTTGGCACAGCAGGCTGCAATCTAATCAGCACCGCGCCTTATTTTCATGGAGACGTGGGGGAGAATTAGATATTTAATGGCGACAGTTTTATCTTTCAATCACACGCCTGGGTCTGCACCGTGGACACCTTGTTAAGGGGCTAGATGTGCCCAATCAACAGGCGTAGGTGGGCTGTCAGTGTGAGTTTGCGCCCGTCTGTGTGATTGAGTGTGCATGGGTGCTTTTAGCTGGTTACCACTCTCCAATCAGAGGTGTTTGTGTGTCTCACTGTGGCTCATATTGTGTTTGATGCCTGAAGACTGGCACAAATTGGCAATCAGGTGAGGTTGGCATGGACGAGGGCCTCTCCTCACCAGGATCCTGACTCCAATTGGCCCCTTCTCCGCTCTCCCATCCTCTCATCCCTCTCTTCCTCTCTCACCGAAGCCATTTTAACTTGACCCTGACAGGTGCTCCTGACAAAACCCATTACAGTCTCAATTACGCTATATATCTCTCCCTCCTTCTCCTTCCACTGCTTGTTTTTATCCCCCATTTTTCCCGCTCCACTCCTCTGATACTCCAGAGCCGGTGGGAGCTCTAATCGGCCGGCGTTAGCACTTCCCTCTTGACTATCACCAGTCTATCATCACTGCGCATCTCATTTCTCCTAATTAGCCTTAGTGGGACCATCACTTTTCTCTTCATTAGGAACAACACAACAGATGTGGGTGAGAGAAGCAGAAGCAATGGTGGGACAACAGTGTGATGAATGGTAGGGTATATGTGCGTGTGTGATGTGTGTGTCTATCTGCATGTGGGGATGTTTGCACAGAGAGATCGGGTCTGCCACCTAAGTGTATGTGCACGCTTACTGCGTAATTTTTTATTGAGATTATTCTTTTGGAATTTTGCCTTTTATTTGACAGTGACACATAGGCTGGTGGCCAGAATCAAATTGTGGCATATTGCAGGTATAATGCATTCATCTACAATACCAGGCTACTAGAACACCCATCTGACTGAACAGCTTGCAACTGTGGTGCAACCATGCGAGCTAGCTTCACTGGTTTTCCCTGAATACCACACAACTTTATGTTAGTGCCAGCAATACTGTCATTTGTCTGGGGTCTACAAAGGTCTTCTTTGATTTATACATCACTTGCAAATAGATTTGATCCATCAGCTCGTGTTGATCATGACTTGTCTGAACCAGAATAAGAACTTCTACTACAACGGTCAACCTGTGGTGCAGAAATTGCAGTTCCTATATTGGCCACTTGAGGGTAAGTCAGTAACTACAGACATATTTTCATGGCCAATTTTTGCCATGAAATTAGCACATTTACAGCCTGGGATAGTGAAAAGAATGTTTTGGTCTCTATGAATAATTTAATCTGAGGTTTCAAATACAGAGTCAAATTGGTGATATCCATCTTTTATATAAAGTCTGTGGTTGAGTTTGCTAACCCTGCTATAATAATCATGCTGTACAGCTAACCCCACCACAAACCCCTGTAACATCTGCAACATCATGTCATTTCCTTAAGCTGCTGGAAATGCGGACACATATGTTTGGACTATATCTGCAATATATATATATACAGTATATACGTGACACTGCACCTACTCATGATTTGTAAGTAGTCGCAAACCAACTAAGACAAATCTTGGGTTGTATCCAAATGCCCAACAATGAAAATATCTTTGGGGCGATCGATTTTTGGTGATTCGTGTTTTCAAATGGAACTTAAATAATGTGGTTCAGAAGTCTCATTTTAAATTCACAGGGAACTATCGTTGGGTTACATGGGGTTAGGTAGAGATTAACTCACTCCCCTTCAGAATAAAGCAGAAGTCCGACATTTGGGAAATGACACTTTCGTGTAAAGACTTCAGTCTGCCCTTTTCTTTTTGCTAACAATTAAACGTGCAGACAGAAGATTAGCCATTTTGACACAGGAGCAAATAAGCCTACTGTGTGAAGCTTCTCCTTTAAGCTGGGGGAACAGAGCTTCTGATGCAATTCAGAAGTAAGTCCCTTTCATTAGAGTTCATTCCCTACTAGTATCATCCACCATTTGAATTTATGTATGACCTCATTATGCAGCAAAGGGCCTTTGAATCGGATGACATATATTAATATTATATCTAACCTAACTGAAGTTCACGCTCTTTTTTTTGCCACATTTCAAATTTGCCTTTTCTGCCCTGATATTACATCTTTGTCTTTCCGGTGGTTTACCGTCTTTTCTCACCAATTTCTCACCCTTTCTCTGGGCGTCCTTGTTCCCGGCGCCCTCCCCTCTCCATCTCCTGCAGGTGTGTGCATGATGTGTGGGAGCAGAGAGGAGGGGCAGCAAGGTGTTGAAGGAGACGCGTGAGACGTACAGGGAGCAGCAAGTGATGAATCTTCCAGCCGTCTGTAACACTCTCCGCTTCGCCGGCTCTTCCCTCGTTTCTGACCCAAATCTAATGCGACAGGACTCGTTTTCGCCGTCCCCGCGCGCTCACCACCTCCCACAACCCGCCCTCCCCCTCGCCGCTCTCGCAGGAGTCATGCACCACCCCTCTATTTTTAGCTGTTTGTCCTTGAGTTACAATCCCCGAAAATTGCCATGATCCATAAAGGGGTTGTGGTGCTTGAGGGAGAACATGCTCGCACACACACACACACACCGTTGCCAGTGCCAATTCACCCTCCAGCCCTACCCCCACCCCATCCTCACTTGCCCCACCACCACATCGTACCACCTCTGTGCATGTGTGTGTGTGTGAGCAACAAATCGTTACCAATTTAAAGTCTTTCTCCATTACTGGAGCGAATATTCCTCTCATTAAAGAGGTGAAATGGAGGGAGTTAAACGAGTGCAACGCCGACAGATCAGGCTGTTCTTTTCGCTGCCTCCCCCCCACACGCACACACTCTCATGCCCCACCTCAGAAAGTTATCCACTGTAGCCAATTAGCATGACTGCTCTGTCTAGCATTAGCCCCCCCTCCACACACACACGCATCCAGCTCGTGCTCTCATTACCGTCTTTCTCTCTCTTCCTCCGCTATCGTCCCTCCTCTCATTCTCTCTCTTTCTCATTAGGGCTGCGTCGTAACACAGTGAATCATAATAGGTGCTCTACACTGTGAAATGGCTTTAGCTTTGTCTCATTTCGCCGCTTGTAGCAGGAGAATGAGTAAACAGACAATCTATTCCATGCAGGCGTAGACACACACCAACAGACACAATCAGGGCCGTTCATTAATCTGTCGTAAAGCAGCTTTTTGCCCGCCTGAAGGAATCCCTGATATTCGCAGACAGAGAAAGAGAGACGGGTGGGGGCTAATCTATGGGAGCTGCCATGCAAGGCCATGTACTATCCACCGATAATAAACAGATGAATCCGAGCAAGGAGAGAGTTTCGGGACACGACGAGTGAAAGATGGAGCAGAGGGAGAGATAGCAGGAGGACTTCGGGCGAATGAGGTGGAAGGCCCGAAGGTAGATCGGAGAGGGGAGAGAGGATGGCAGCGAAGAAGTTGGGGAGGGGGGCGAAACAGCGTGCAGCAGGGGGTGGAGACGGCGGCACTGAGGCGTATTCTAAGCCCTGAATGTAAATATGCGTGAGGGGATTATCACAGAGTGCCAGGCGGCGCTTTTGGGGCTTTGTTTCCGTGACACCATGACGTTGGCTTTGTTTCCCTGACAGCAGACGTGTGTGTGTGTCAGTGTGTGTGTATGTGTGCCATAGCATGTGTGTTTGTGTGTGACATCCAGGCATCTGTTTCCTGCTGGAAAAGGTTAATTACATCTCCACTGCCTGACTGGACGTGCCATGCATAATCACACATGCTAATGAGACCTGTGTGTGTGTGTGTCTTTTGTCTTTGTGTCTCCATGTGCATTCTGGAAAGGCTGTACTGTAGTGGCTGAACAGATATCTTAACCACTTGTTTCAGCTTTGAAAAGCTATTGTTGCAGCCAAGAAGAAGCACAGACACACACACAACACTCGCAGAGTCCTACACTCAAACAGGTGACAGCTGGAAGAGCACCGCAACGGCATTTACGGACAGACACTCCTCTCCCAATGGGGGACATTAATTGATGGGTCTGCATCCATGTGTGCGTGTGTTTGTAATTACTCGTCTGCCTGTTAATGAGACAGAGATGCTACGCCGTAAGCGGAAGGACTTCTCCCAAACTCCGCTGCTCACTCTGACCCCTGACTCCTATCTTCACACTCCAGCTAAGCTGCTGATTGGACAGCTGCTTGGCTTTAGATGGAGCCCAGCGCAGCGTGAAAAGCCGAGATGGGCTCCGGCCCTCCATGGGTGACTCTGGAAATTACTGCACACTTTCTCACTCAGCTGAAGTTTTCACTAAGTTGATCTGACATAAGCAGGTAGGTGAGGAGGTGCAGAGCTCAGTCGAGCTTTGGCTCTAATTCAGCCCCCGCGGAGGAGCGGTGAGGAGTGCGACTCAGAAAAATAATGGATTTCTAGAGTCCATCGCCTCTTCGCACCTTGTGAGGAACGCCAGCTATGGCAAGAAATTAATCAAACAGATACGATTTTTTTCTCTTTTTTTGGAATCACATCAGCAAAAGCAAAGTTCTCAGTCAGCTGCCAAAGGAGAAATGAGAGTGCTGCAGGGATGTGTAATGGGCATGAGCGAGGAGTTCGCAGGCTTTTATTTTCAACTTGAAGAGCGTGGCTCAAGACAGCCTTGTGCTTGTTGAGTTTAGCCAGGTTAAAAAGTACAAAAGAAGAAGTGTTAGTCACCGATACTCTGGGAAAAATACAGTACCTGATTCGAAACCACCTTTTCTTTCTTTATTTTTTTTAACTTTAAATAAAAGCCTGTGCTCGTTGAACCCCCTTTACCATCTCTGTTATAATGTCGCCAGGCAGCATACCAGACAGTGGAGGCTGTCCTGAGCAGTGATAACCCAGGCCACACATTTCGGTCCATTAGGGATAAATCCCACAGAAAAGGCGAAGACAGCTGGGCTGACAGCAATGCTGTCACACCTGTGTCTCCTGATCCCTCCATTGCTCTACCTCTTCACACTCCTCATCCTCCACTTGATCACTTTTCTTCTTCCTCCGTCTGCGGCAGAAGCCATTAAGGCCACAGAAGCAGGCGCAGGTGAAGGGCATGTCCTATCTGATGCACCGCATCTACGTGAACCTGTGAATGGACACAGAGGGAAGAGGGGGAGAGAGAGAAGAATAGGTAAAGCATTAAAACAGTCCTCTTTCATCTAGTGCTCATGATAAGGACTTTTGCTTGGAACAAACATGGATATCTGCAATAGAAGAAGCTGCTTCCCTTTCATGCACGTTTCAGGCAAAGCCAGTTTTCTGGATGGAACTTAGCAAAGATTAAGCTAGTGGCCATTTCTTTATGTGCAGTGGACTCTTTAAGCAGAGGTACCATCTAAAACAATAAATGCTTCAGTGATTAGCATCCTTTTTATGCTTGGAACACAAATGGGGAGAGCCTCCCCAACTAAATTAAATTTCACTGTAATCAACATGAATCTAAAGGCTCTGCACAGACCTGTAAGCTCTTAACCCTCAGAGGTCAAAGTTATCATCGGAAACAATCCCAACTCTATCTTTGAACCTGACCCTAATCAAAAAGCATTTTCACTCGCTGGGCCCACATCCTCATTTTAGGTTTGACAGCATTTTAGTAGATAAAGGTGAATGGCTTGGACGTGAATTGAGCTGCGGTTTGGGGAAGGCCTCGAAGGGGGCTGGCGGTGGCTCCCAGACCCGGCAGATCCCAATGTACTAAATAGAAGTGAAGAAGTTAAAGAACTGAAAGGTGGAGGGAGGGTGGGACACGTAAATGAGAAGGAACAGCTTGTAGAAGCCTAATTTCCTTCGGGATTAATAAAGTATTCTGATTCTGATTCTGAACTGGGGAACATATATAGATGGGAACCGGAAGGAGTGTGTTTGGAGGCATGGTCCCATTCCCGAAATTCAGATACTTTATCTCCAATTAAAAAACATGAGTTTTACAGTTCTTTGTTCTCTGCCTGTTAACTTTTGGAAGAACATTTTTTTAAATGTATAAAATTAGGTGCTCCTATAAAATATTGATATGATGGCATACAGGTTCATCACTGACAATCTTTCTATTTCAATACATGAAATCTCTACAGTGAAAATACTTACCAACATTAACGTACAGTTAATTTTAAATAGAAGTCGCTACAGCTACCACATTACTGAGCAGAATAAGATGCTAGTCCCAAAAGTATTTTTCCACTTCTAAATCAGGCCGTGTGTGGTCCAGGGCGTCACCAGTGATGTCTGACACTAACCCTACACATGTCTGTGTTCTTTTAATTGTTCTCTGAAGTCTTGGCAATGAGGGGATATAGAAAGAGTGCTTTTCTGCTTCTCTCTAAGACACTGGAGTCAGGACTGAGCTAATGAGTGAATGTAAAACAAGTGTGAACCTTGGACAGGCTTTCAGTGGAGAGAACGCAACATTCAGTTGGCATCCACTATATCAGTAAGTTTAAAAAAAACCCTGGCAACTCATTACCCTCATACAACTGAAGGAAAAGGAAGGCGATCTCAGTCTGGTCTCCTGTTTTGAGGAGACGGTGTGTTGCCATTAATAAAGAAACCATTGGGAAGATGATGCTGGTCAGTGTCATGAGTCTGACAAGCAAACACTTGGAAGAACATTTTTTTTTAAAAAATGACATGATGGCAAACAGTAAGGATTAGGGTTAGTGTCAGGTTCATAACTGATGATAACTTAGATCAGGGCAAAGAATGGGCATTTGAAAGGTCCCGCTCACATGGAGAACATGTGTTACATTGGCCTGTATTTACTGTTTAACTCCCACAGAAATACTGTTTTCATACTGTGTGCATTCACACTGGAATAGAAAAGTAGAAGATTGTTGTTGATGTTCTCCCTGTCCTTGAACTGGGACCAGGAACAGCTGATCAAAACTCCTGTCAAGCACTGCATATTCACCAAAGGCCATCACTTACTCAGTAACTATGGCTGGTGCATCAAATTTGCTGCAGCTGTACTTGACAATTTCTGAACCATGTTCATTAAAGTTGTTTTCACTGACTCACTGTTCAGGTTAGTTATTTCAACCAAAATTTACAGTTTTGATCATATTATATTTTTTTACACCTTCGTCGAAGCCAGTAATAAACACGGGGATAATTATTGTCATTTCATTCTTCTAGGTATCTTTTATGCATAGAAACTTGGGTTATTTTTTCAAATTGGGTTATTTTTTTGTATGTATGTGTTTATTGATCTATTTGGCAGCTCTTGCTGACTACATTTGGTGTGTTTTTTTCTGGTGGTAGTCTAGAACTTCATCTTTTTTCATTAAGGCTGCCAAAAATCAATCAGCAATAGCTAGGCTACTGTGAGGGCAAGGTGCCCAACCCTAGAGTATTTTAAAACACAGCAAGTCTATGTCCCAATAAGCAGGTGCGTTGGTTCATAAACACTGATGTTGGTGAATCTGTTTCAAAACCACCTGATACAAACTGACACATATCTTTGCGGATGGACTGCTGATTTGTTGAGGGTGCACGCCGCCTCTTAGCGAGTGTCAGCTGGTGTAAGCTTTAGGCCCGAACGTTCAAATGAGGGTTTCACAAGATAATGTACACTTTAACACTTTCAGTGTTTGTAATGTGCCATTTATGTCTTTATACACTACTCTGTATTTATCATTAGTTATTATGGAACGTATATGTATGTTCTGACTCGGTTTTCCTCCCCTCAACCCCAACTGGTTGTGGCAGATGGGCGTCCCTCCCTATGCCTGGTTACTTCCTGTTATATGGGAGTTTTTCCTTCCCACTGTCGCCAAGGTGCTTGTTCATAGAGGGTCTTCTTATTGTTGGGGCTTTCTTTGTATTATTGTAGGTTCTTTACCTTACAATATAAAGCACCTTGAGTTGACCGTAGAATATCAAAGTGATCCTTTATGTTTGTGTTAATTTTTTGTAGTCACATTTTTGTTGAGGTTACATTTAAAACCTGTAGTATTTATCAATGTTTGTGTGTGGAAAATCTGTCTTTAAAAAACAACAACAACAACAACAACAAAAAACGCAGCGTAGAAAAAAATTTAAGACGGCATCAAGAGATGATGAGATGGTCCCAATGTTTCCAAATAAGATGAGGAAGAAACAGATTCCTAACCCATCCCATTCTTGAGACAAGGGAGCAGCAACAGAGAGAGTTTCATGGATTGATCCAGGAGATGAAGCTGTATCACGAGCACTTTCATACATATTTCAGGATACCAGTGGGGCAGGTTGAACTCTTGTTGGCAGAGTTGGGACCCCATCTGAGGAGGCAGCGAAATAATATCAGAGAGCTGACTGACCCGGAGCAGCTGTGTGTCTAAGGTAATATTTGATCTAAAAGATATTTAACCATTTCCATATCATTTTATATTCACGACTGGTTTATTTTAAGCTACGAGTGGTCTGACTGGTCAGATCTGTTTATTTGGATCCAAACAAAAATCGAGCTTGGTTCAAAAAAAATAAATGTCGTAAATTTGTCCAGTGTACCAGCCATGACTCTGATATTATGGATGAAAGACGAGAGACTAACAAAAATCACCCTCTTTTTTCAAGCATACAAGAGCCTTTTTTTCTTGTCAAGTGGTAGGGGTTGAGGTTAGGGGTCGGCACTGGCTGTAGTCTGCGAACACTCATTCTACAAAACGAAAGAGATACAGCCAATCGACTGATGGAAGTTCCTGTGTGACCAAAACTAAATGATCTTACCTGCAAAAACACTGATTAACTTCTTAATCTTTTGAGATTTATCGTCACTTATATGGTAAAGGTGTACAGATGTGCAAGTGATGTTATTTCAGTAAATCACAATAGGCAGCGTGTGTGACTGTGTAGATATCTGCATGTGGTTGTCTCCACATATTTGTAGTGCCTTATACTTGTTTTATGCTGCTGCTGTATATTTGCATAGGTATTTGCCTACAGAGAGAGATTTTCAGTCTACACAAACGTGCTCTCGTGCATGGAATTCATCAGGAATGAGATCAAAACCAGAGTTTGAAAAGCACAGACAGCGGTTTTTGACAGACATTCAGTTTTTTGAATGTTAGGACTTTGCTCTTCTCCACGGCTGGCTGAGCGACCAACAGCAGCACATGCAACAGTAGCCCAGAGACCAGTTTAACACATACTTAGGACATTGCCTCCATCTGGTAACAGACGCTCCCTGCAGGTAGACGGTCCAAAGCTCCCTACGATCTGCCAACACACCGCCAACGGAAAACCATGTTCAGCCCATTAAGCAAGAAAAAACTCCATGTAGATAAAGTTACAGGGGTTCAGTCAGTAGGTCATTACACACACACACACACACACACACACACACACACACACACACACACACACACACACACAGAGTCTATTGAGCGCTGTCACTCAGCAAGGAGAAAAACTCATTTTACTGCTACACTTCTCATATTTTTCAACATTTCTCCATGTCTGCGCTTCAGTTACTCTCTCCCTGCGCAACTCTGTCTCCATCTCTGGCTCCCTCTCACGCAAACAGATGGACAGACAGACGCACACACACACATACACACGCATGTCTTAAGGCTCACTAAACTCCAAGCGTTAACATTTTTCGCCAGTGTTCGAGCAGCCAATCACAAATGAGCTCTGAGATTAGGAGACGCGAGGTGAAACTAAGAGCTTCATTAAATACCAACCTGAGTCAGCAGCACCAGCAGGCCTGGCTGGGGAGTGCGTGTGTGTGTGTGTGTGCGCTGTGCAAGAGGGAGTGAGTGGGTGACAAAAACACAAGCACAGATGAAACATGAAGTGTCTGCATTCACGCGTGTGCTTGAGTGTGTGTGTGGTTTAAGGATTGATTCAACCTGTCTCATATGGGGGCAATTAGCTGAGCTGGGCTCTGGGCTGCCTGAGAGCAGAGACAAAAACGCCTCGGGCCATATGCAGTGTGTGTGTGTGTGTGTGTGTGTGCGCGCATGCATTTGTGTGTACTATATACTATTAAACCTCCATGAGCTCTTCTTTTATCCCTTTACTGCCATCCCATATATCCATCTAATCCTTGTCTGCAGATCTCCCACTCTGTACCCAATGGCTTTAGACCCTATGTGACATGCCAGAGAAAAT